TTTCTTTTAATGAGTAACTGGGTGCCAGTGAATGAAGGTACCAGGGTGCTTGTAAAATTGCCTGTTTGTTTTTTTTTGTTCCTTCGTCCGCTTCTCAGCAGGGAAAACACTTTGGTTAGGTTAACACGACAGTACTGCAGGGGTAAGAGAGGGTGAGCCTTGCTTCTACAGCAGAAATGACGCGGGGGCTCTGAAATTTGGATAAAACAGTGAAGTATACGGTGCTTATCATTTTTGTTTTTCAAAGAGGAGATTATTAGGACATGTTTAGATTTCAGGAGAACTTGAAATGACCTGTTATCTTAGTTCAAATTTCCCTCGAAGAAAGAAAAAAATATAAGGTTTAAAATTTAATTTGTCACTTCAGAAAATGTCTAAACTCCATGAAGGTGGCAATCAGGGACTTGCTTCTACACCCCACCACTCCTGATTTAGAGTGACGCAGAGACACTCCTTGGCACATAAGAAATACTGATATTTATTAGTTTAAGTTGACCTTGCTTCAGTTAAGTTTTCTCTTTTTTGCAGCCTTATTGAGATATAATTGACATATAACATTATGTAAGTTTAAGGTGTACAATATATTGATATGACACATTTATGTATTGCAAAATGGTTATCACATGACATTTGTTAACACCTCCATCACCACACATGGTTACCCTGTATGTGTGCTTGTGTGTGAGTGTGTGTGTGGATGGGAACTTTTAAGATCTTTCTTTGCAACTTTCAAGTACATGATACAATATTAACTGTAGTTGCATACGATACATTAGATCCAAGATTTTACCCATCTTATAACGACCTTCACCCATTTCCTCCCACCCCTTCTCAATTGAATTTTCAAAGTTATTTCTACTCTATCATTGCTTAGGAAAAGCTTAATAACATCTCCTTTAAAAAGAGAAAGTCTTTCTCTTCTTGCTTCCTCTGGAACATTTTGAAAACCATTCTCTTCCAGATTAAAATCATCATTCAGCCAAATCATTACTGATTTTACATCTCCTTTCCGCAAGAAGCTAAAACCACATGTTTTCCCATATGAAAGCATACTTAATAATTATATTCTAGAGGAGTATAAACACCCAGAAGTCCCTGTGGCAAGATAGTTTTTGCTCCAGTGCCATCCAGACACCGGAGGTCACGTCTAGCTCCTCGTTTCAGAACTTTTACTCTTTACAAAGTCAGAGGCTTAGGCAAAAAGCAGAAACTTTCCCTCATTTCGTACTTGTTCAAAATCCTATCTTGCTTACATCCCAGGGGAAATGTAATCCTCATCTGAGGAGAGGCAGGGTGCATGCAGTGCACCGTAACACTGAACTGTAACGCTCTGCGGACTTAGAGCAAATTCTTTTTGTACTTTCCCTTTAGGGCGAAGTTTTATTTTCCTTGGCCATTGAAGTATTTGTAAACAGGAGTTACATCATAAATGGTAAATCTGTCAAAAATTAATTGACTAGAATTCTGAATATTGGAGTCCTGTCAAGAAAAGAGTAGTGAGTATTTTGCAAATATTGTAATGTAGCCGCTCCACTTCCCTACTGCTACAAAATACAGTATCCCCAAATTTAGCAGCTCAAAAGTAACAACCACGTTATTAGCAATCACAGGACTGTGGGTCAGAAACTCGGGTGAGGCTCAGCTGAACGATTCTTCTGCACCACGTGGTGCGGACTAGGATCACCAGGTGACAATCAGCTGGCAGGTGGGCTGACGAAGGTTGTAGACAGCCTCATTCACATGTTGGCCACCTTAGCAGATGTGTTAGTCCATTGAAGCTACTATAACAAAAATACCATAGAGGAGCTGACTTAAAACAGCAAACATTTATTTCTCATCATACTGGAAGCTGGGACGTCCTAGATCAAAGCACCAGCAGATTCAGTGATTGGTGAGCGCCCACTTCCTAAGTCATTGTCTTCTTCTCATTGTCTCCTTACATGGCAGAAGGGGTCAGGGAACTTTCTGGGATCTCTTTTATAAGGGTGATAATCTCATTCACGAGGACTGCATCATCAGGACCAAATCACCCCCCCAGAAGGCCACCTTTCAATACCATCACATTGGGGGTTAGGTTTCAACATATGGATTTGGGGGGACGCACACATTGCATCGCCTACATCTGGCAGTATCACTTCCACCATCTGCTATTAGCCACATCCGACACAGAGCCCACCGAGATTGAAGGGGCAGGCCATAAACCCCACCTCCAAGGCAAGCGAGTCCTCAAGTTGTAGTCATCCTTGATCGGCAGAGGGGCACATCACCAGAAAATAATGCAATTTTGTGTCTCTTGGTAATGAGCAAAGCAGCTAGAATCCAAACATTAATGAAACACACTGAAGAGCATCAGCTGTACATCTTACAGTCACTCGCGTACCTTTTACTGCTTTGGTCTTCACACCTGCTGCTGTCAGTAGTTCCAAAGTATCTGGCAAGTTGTTTCCTCTCCTTCCTACCTCCACTGCCGAGTGGAAGTGCCTTAAGACAGCCAACCTTTGTTGAGAGCTAATTGTGTGCCAGGCAGTGGGCGAACAGCGTTACAGGCACTATGTCATTTGATTCCGCGTGCCGCCTCTATTAAGTAGCTGTTGTTGGAATCTGCATCTCACAGGTGAAGAAAACAGGACTCATGAATAGAGTGACACACATTATCTCTCAGCCATTTAATGGAAGGGCCTAAACAGAAACCCAGGCCGCTGAGCACCTCGAACCAGAGTCCGATTTCCTCCCTCCTATCATAAAGTCCACGCTTAGCCCAGAGGGGCAGCTTTGCCTGCAGCCTGGCTCCTCACTCTGGTCGAGCTGCTGCTATACCCGTCCTGTGTGCAAACACACAGCCATAGCATCTCTGTGTACATCCAAATCTCACGCTGTGAATAACATGGGACAGAGGACTGGGGGTGGGGCTGGGACAGAGGGATGTCCCTGATGCTCCAAATGCGGCCCTGGATACATTTACTCTCACTCATTCTACAGGGCGTGGGGCAGGAACTCGGTTACGGGGCCTGCTAAGAAAGCCAGGTAAAAAGCCAATGCTGTTCACAGAACTTGGCGCCCTTTAAAAATGGGACTCTAATGAACAAACTGAACTAACCAGGAAAATGGGGACAGACTCATAGATGGAGAGAGCAGATGACAGCTTGTGAGCGGGGGGAGGTTACGGGGTGGAGGGATTGAGCCAAAAGGAGAAAGGACTCGTGGACACGGAGAGCAGCGTGGTGGTCGCTGCGGGGAGGGAGGCATAAAGGCACTAAAAGGTAGTGTAAAAAACACATGATAAAAAGTCCATTTAAAAAATAAAATAAAATAATAAAAAGAAATAAAAATGGGACTCTCTTTGCTTCCCAGAAAGTACTGTACCTTTCTTATGAAAAGAATTATCTCTCTTAAATGATTTCTCATGTACCTCAGTCATAACTACTTATAACCCTGAAAATGTTTTGATGTTGGACATTAGTTGAGCATGGTTGGGTACGTAGTAAAAATAAAATTTGCTTTCCTTACACTAATACTATAAAATAGCTACTGTAAGTCGTGTTTTACATGAATAATATACTACATTTAAAACACAGATTATATGATATATTTCTAGTTGCATGCTTAAAATATTCATGCACAGAGAGGGATAAAACATAGGGCATATGCCAAGTTGCTTATAATGTTATTCTAGAAGGAGGGATTGTGGGTATATTTCTTGCCTTCATTTTTCTTTTCTATATTTTATAAGTGTTTGATAATAAACATACATTATTTTAGGAAAAGAAAAATGTTTAAAGATTGGCTCCCAAGAGCTTGGACAATTGACAAATGTGTGATCTGTTGAGTGAAAGGTCTAGGCTGTGCTATCTAATGTGGTAGCAGGTCTCAAGTGGCTATTTAGAATTATATATAAATTAAGTAAAAGCAAATTAACTTGTTCACGATTTAATTCTTCAGTCACACTAGCCACATTGCAAGTTCCAATAGCCACATTTTCACCATCACAGGAAGTTCTGTTTGACAATCCTGGTGAAGAGAAGTTGCAAAATAAGCCCTGCTTACTGAGGACAAGTGTGGCCTAGGAATGTACATACGCCCCTCTCTGTAGTCACTGGGAGGCTCCTCAGCACCAACCCCTTTCATACACATCGCTACTCTGTAGCCCAGTAAGCTCGGAGATTTGTCCCATAGCCATTTAACGAGGCACTGAGAGAGCAAGGATGCGAGTCTGGGGCCACTAACTCCTACTTCCTGGCTCTGGCCTCCACATCACTGTTTCTATCTCCTCCAGAAAACGACAGCTTCCCCAGTGATACTTCAGTTCACTGCAACTTCACACACTATAACGTCAGAGACATTTTGGGGGAGCTCACAATGTGATAGGCACCATAATAACCCTTGCATATACAAAACGAAGTAAGACAGGTTTCCCTGTCCCCAAGGGTGTCAAAGTGCAAAAACAGGGCATGTGACATAGAGTGGTGGCACAAAGTAGGGACAGGTCTGTTCTTCTCAGGAAGTCCAGAAATGCTTCAGACCCAACAGATACGCGTGAGCTTTGGTCCTGACATTTATGCATCCAAACCCGCAAATTAGCATTTCTCCATTATTCTCAATTTGCCCAACACTCCAGAAGAGGTTAGACTCCATCTTTGAAATGCTGTTGATCCCTGAACTGACATTGGTTTGGGGTTGTTGTTTTTTTTTAATCATCATTATTAATTTCATGTAGCCTAGTTAGATATATGCAATTCTCTTACTCTCTGAACTCAAAACTTATTTTCTCATTTTCAGGCCAGTTTCTGTACCTGTCAAATAATTTTTAAATCTGCAAATGAAACAAACTACTTCTTTCGCATTTGTCATTCATCCCATTTTAGACCATATAAAAGCAAAAAAAAAAAAAAAAAAGTGAATGAATGCATATTTTTCAGCCAGTCATGGCCAGAATGTTGAAACACAGTTGAGAACCTGGAGTGTCCAGTTCTTCTATAAATCATGCCTCTGTATTGTCACAGATGCGATGCTCCTGGTGGCGGAGCGGCTGGAAGGACCATTCAACATCGAGTCCGTCATGGACCCTATCGATGTCAAGATCTCTGAAGCCATTATGAACATGCAAGAAAACAGCATGCAGGTGTCTGCAAAGGTATTTGCCTTCGTCGTATGTCTACTAATTGGGAACGTGCAGTCATCTGAAACTGAAGTAACTAGATATGTCGGCTGGGATTATAAATTCTAATACGTTGTCAGTAAGCTTTGCCTGTCAAGCTACAAATTTGCTACTTCATTAAAAATGTCTAACAAAATGGCATTGAGAAAGGAAGCAATCTTTTAGTTCACAACTACTCAATCATGAAGAAATTATTGGCTGCTAAAAAGTTTCAGAGAGCCTGAAGTATATTGACTAATCCCTCACATTTGTGAGCGATTTGGGAGGATGGGGGGAGTTGTTTTTTTTTTAAATGTTTGAAATGTCTGCACACTCCTACCCTGTTCTCTCGAGGAACTCTTAATTATATCTTCAGCTGTGCAAACCAGGCACATGTTCTATATGCTCAATTGTAAATAATTAAACATTCCTTTTCTAAGACGATGGTGTAACCTTTATTAATGTATCTTCAGGGGAAAATGCTCCTTTGTATGAAGTGAAGCACACATTAAAAGAAAGAAAGTCGTTCATTTTCATAAATCATGGGACAGGGCTTTGGGGTTTGCAGCTGCAGAGCGCAAGGACCAGGTGCGCAGTTTTTACTTGTCCCCACCCGCCTGAAGATAAACGGGGCCCACCTTAAACAAAATCGAGACTTTTTGCAGTGGGTCCCCAGCCTTCTCCTTCATCACCCCTTTTCATGCACACAGATGGCTGCGTAATCCCCTTCTGTTCTTTTTGCCAGTGCCCTTGTCATGAAACGCTAACCAAGTCCGTATCAGTCTGTGGAACCTGGTGACTGAGTGGATTGCATTTTTACAGAAAGTTCATTCACATAAATATATGTCAGACAAGGAGTTGTGCTTAGCTTCCTTTGGTTCTTAAAATCGTTTGTGCAAGAGGATTTCAGATGTGATCCCAGAGGAGGGAAGGGGCGGGAAGAGAATTCAACTAGGTCTCTTGGCTGAGTGAATTGAATTGAATTGAATTGAATTGAATTGAATTGAATTGAATTGAATTGAATTGAATCAATCTATGAATTGAACTAAGGCTTGGGCTTTTCAGGGTGAACTAGTAGAACATGGGGTAGGAGGAATCTGGCTGGGCGTCTATATCTCGCTCCTTGGGAGACGGATGGGCTGAGAGTTTCATTGGCCGAGACCTGGGTTTAATGAGCTCAGGATACCCTGTGTAAAGAAGGATACTCCAAATCGTCATCACCTGTTGAGGAAACAGCCCGTTTAGTGGTTCCATGGAAACCTATTTTCTGTCTTTCCTGTGAAAAAATAGCAGCCATCTATGCCTCTCCAATCTATTGCCTAGAAATGTATTATTGTTGTTTGAGAGGCCAAACATCCCAGCAGTTCTGAAATAACCCCACACCAAGGCTGCTGATGTTCAAAACTGCTCTAGAGAAAAAGCGGGGAAAAAAGGCACGTGGACAAAACTGCTTGTGACTTGAGAGCATCTCACACTTCTTAGAAGCAGAGGGTTGCATTGGCATCTGTGCATGTGTGTTCAAGTCAAGTTATTCTCTTAAAAATTCTTTAAGAGGTTAGAGGGACTCTATTACCAGAATATGGATGAGACATTTTTGTAGAATTTGCCCAACTACATTGTAACGGTATGGCTATATTATAGTAATTAATAAGGACTGTGCTTTTAAAAAGACACCTTAAGAGGCTAGAGGTGGGACAAATAACAATGGAAAAAATACAATTAAAAATGTAAAAAGTAAATAAATGAATAAAAAGTTACTTTTTTTGTAAGAAGTGTCAAAATCAAGACTAGAAATAATATAGGACATGTAAGAAACCACGTAAGAGGATACAGTATGGAGGGTCATGACACAGTAGTACAAAAAGTGTCAAATGGACTAGAAATACTTTTTTAAATGTATCTGGTAGTCTTGACATAGAGAAAAGGGGGGTAGGGAGTTAAGGAAGAGAGAGAGAGGAGGGCAGCCCACGCTCTACAGTGAAACAGGGATCTGGAAAGAAGGTCTGATTGGGAAGAGAGTAGGGAGGAAGGACCAACGCCAGCCTTTAATGTGGACGAGAAGTAAAAGGTGGCTAGAAGTTGACCACTTTTACCAGGAAAGCACCGAGAGAATTTGCGGATGGAGTGGGCATGTTCTGAAAGAGGTCTGATTTCTTCCAGGGGATAGAATTTGGAAATATGTTGTTCTGTGTTCCCTATGAACCACCTTCATGAAATTATGCATGCGCTCAGTCTGAAATCTACATCTTAGCGAAGAACTGCATCGTTGAATTTTTCCTTTTTCAAAGGAACCCTCGGTCACTGTTGATGAATAGTCTCATCAGATGTGAGGTTCTGGATCTCCACAGACTTCCGCAGAAGTATTTGTGGGCCCAGAGACTCGGTTAACTTCCAGAGTAGGTGAGCTTCAAATAAGACCAGGAACTGTCTGTTAATTGCGGGCCAGACATCCGAAGACCTTATTACAGCGGTTGTGGCTAGAAGTCCCGCCCAGAGCCACGTTCAGAAAAGCAACAACGTTTATCACTGCGGTTCCTGCTGGCAGAATGCTCACTGCCAGGGGCTGTTCTGTGCTTTGCTGCAGTGGTTTCTTTTCTGTAATAGAACAATGCTGGTGATGAGAGAGATCTTCCCCCTTATTCTCCAGATAAGGAAACCAAGGCTTAGAAAAGTTAAGGAATTTACAAAGATTTCGGAGTGCAAGAAGAATACAAAGAGGGATGTCTGACTGCAGAACCCACGTTATTACTCACTGCCTCCTAAGGATGTGGAAGCCTGCAAAACCGATCTCACACAAGGGCGGGATTCGGTAGATATTTGCTGAATAGGTCAACTGTTAAGAGGAAGTTCTAAAGAAGGCAGGGAAAGAGAGGTAGGTGGTAAAGCCAGGACTCCAGTTGTCTGTCTTTCTGTCTGATTCCCTTTACAACTATACCTAGAACTTCCCACTGTGCCAAATGCTAGTGAAATATTTCTCTTATATAGACTGCCATTCCTTGCTTGCAACCTTCCCTAGAGTTTTGATCGTGCAATATATAAAAGTGTATGTTTTTCTCCCCCTTCTTGTACCAGAGGCAAAAGTGCACCCACCACAGTTTTAGGTATGAAATCCCTTCCCTCTAATGCACTGATGCTTACCTTAGCCTTGCTTTCAGGGTATTGTCAGATCCTTTTTCCTCTCCTATTTAGCCCACAGCTAAGCCGTTAGGGGCTAGGGCACACTGGCATTCCTTTTAAAAAATACATTGGCTCACCAATCCTGATAACCAAGTTTAATAGGTTGATAATACTATTACGGCACTCATTTCAAACTCTTGATTTGTATATCCTTTGTACAATATTACATATGTGTCAATTATGTAATATAATATATACATATGTGGTTAAAGACTAGGGAGAATAGCATATTAAAACATTTGTTGGTTCTTTTTAGCCAATCACCTAGTAACAATGATAAGCATCATGCCTAACATTAGTTGAGCACCTACTATATACATTCAACAACGATTCTACCATTTACCAAGCATGGGAAATACAGTAGAGGACAAAACAGATTCTCTGTCCTTGTTTTCCTACATGCCTTACATGTTTATTTTAAATCCTCACTGCAATCTTATAAAGTATTCACTTCCTGGTTTTACAGGCAAAAAAAAAAAATGTTAAATCTAGAGAAATTAAGTAGTTCATCTGAGATACTGAAATTAATGAGTGAGCAATCAGGGATTGCAACCCAGAACTGTCTGGTCCAAAGAAAAAGATTTTCCCAGTATGCCACTGTTTCCTCAGTAAGTGTCTTCTCGCAAGAATCAAATATATTTAGCATTGAGGGGACCGGTCATCTAAGAGCGGGTTGTTCCCTAAAACATACTACAGGGAACCTATTGAGAAGCAACACAGGCTGCTGTTGTGTCCAAGCCCCCACCAAGCTTATTACATTCTCCAACTTCATTCATCAAAGTCAGGATAGCACCCGCCTTTTCCCACCCTTCTTTTCCCCACCCAAATCAAAGAATGTTGCAGGTGTTTGGAAAGTTCCCAACAGAAGGGAGAAAAAAAAAATTCAGAGTCGCTGCCTGTGACTTTCCGATGTGTTGGTAATCTCCTTCTTATCCTATCAGGGAAGGTGAAACTGACCTCACTCAACATAATTTAACTCTATTAGGAGTATTTTCAAATCTAATCCAAGAAAAGATTGGTTTGTCAGATATAATCTAAATTAAGAAGGAAGACTAACTAAATTCCGATTGAAACCACCCCTTCTATTAATACTTATTGCAAATGAGGGTAGAGCCCATTAGAGAAGAGCAAGATGGCCTTCAGGTACTTAATTTTCTCCAGACAATTTTTTCTGAATCTACAGCTCAAATAAAGACGGAAAAAGCCTAAGAGAACAAAAAAAAAAGAATAGAATAATTTCTGCCTCGAGCTGGCAGGTCTTAGTTTCCTCATCTGTCGAATGAGGGGATAATGGAAATTTCCCCTTCCTAACTCTAACAGTTTACATTATTAACACCATCTTTTCACTAATAATTAGGTTTCCTTTTCCAGCATCCAGATATATTTCTTTTCTCTGGATCTTTTTCTTTTTGAAACATTCAGGTATAAATAATACCTTGGGAATTCACAAGGAAAAAAATATCCTGTTAGGATATTTTTACTTCATTCTTTAATGAGAACATTGTTTAGAAATTAGTTTAAATAAATATACATTTATTCCAATAACATGAATTTTTCCCTTCTGGGAGCCCCTATGTTACATGTGTCCTTCTTGAGTCAGTAAACATTATTCCTCATGGTGTGGTTACTTGTATATTTATCTCCTCCTTCCCAGGATTATAAATTATTGGAGGACAGGAACTACATCTTGCTCATTCTTACATTTTACAGAGAGTGATCTTAACATTTCATTTTACACATGGAAGAAACAGTACATTTTGCTGAATTGAATTCAGAACATGAAAGTATAATGCCACAGAGACTTCAATCATAAGGAATAG